CCATTCCTTCGCTATTAGTCTATGTGTCTCTTTAGAAGTAAAGTAAGTTTCTTGTAGGAAGCTTATAGTTGGGTGTAGTTTTTTAATCAGTTCAACTAGTCTATGTCTTTTAAATGGAGAACTCAATTCATTTACATTTAAGGATGTTATTGAAAAGTATTGCCTTACTCCTGGCATTTTGTTAATTTTTCTATGGTTGTTTTATATACCTTTTGTTCCTTCCTTTCTCTTTTATTGTTTATCTTTGCTGTTTGGTGGTTTTTGGTTCTAGTAAGATATAATTTCTTTCTCTTTCTCATTTGTGTATCTGCTTCACCAGTGATTTTTATTCTTTTGTGTCTTATCATGATGGTAGTTATCATTCTTTTGCTTCCAGATGTAGGGCTTTCTTGAGAATTTCTTGTAGGGCTGGACTAGTGGTGATGAATTTCCAAAGATTCTGTTTGTCTGAGAAGGATACTATTTTCCTTCAGTTCTGAAAGATAACTTTGCTGGGTATAGTATTCCTGGCTGGCAGTTTTTTCTTTCTTTCATTACTTTGAATATATCATCCCAATCTCTCCTGAACTGTAAGATTTCTGCTAAGAAATTGCTGTTAGTCTGATGAGGATTCCCTTATAGGTTACTTGATGCTTTTTCACTTACTCTTTCTAGAATTTTCTCTTTGCCTTTGACTTTTTAAAATTTGACTACAATATGTCTCAGAGATGACCTTTCTGGGTTGAATCTGTTTGGGAATCTTTGGCCCCCACACCTATGAAAGAGACAGTGGGTTTCTCTGTGACTCCTCAGCTGGATTGGGCCATTCCCTGTGAGGTTGCTAGGTATGTGGGTGGTCACCTGTGCCTGTAAGAGAGATGCTGGGTTGCTCTGAAGCTCCCCAGCTGGGGCCAGTGGCTATCGGTGGGCTCACTGAAGCTGCAGACAGGACTCTTTAGCTTATTTGATATTCGTACATCTTCTTTGGTGAAATGTCTCTTAGCATATTTTGCTTATTTTAAAAATTGTGTTGTCTTATTATTATTACTAGTATTTGTGTATTCTGTACAGAAGATTATAGTTTGCAAATATTTACTCCCAGCCTGTGGTTTGTCATTTCATTTTATTAATGGTATCTTGTGTAGAGCAAAATGATTTAATTTTGATATCATACAGGTTATTAATTTTTATTTTACAATTTGTGCTTTTCATGTCCCATTTAACAAATTGTTGCATAACCCAAGATTACTAAGATTTTTTTCTGTGATCCATGTTGAGTTAATTTTTGTATACTATGGAAGGTAAAAGTTAAAGTTTAATTTTTTCCAGATTTCTTGAGATATAATTGACAAAATTGTTTAAGTTTAAGGTGTACAACATCATGATTGATATACATATGTAGTGTGAAATATTTACCACAATCAAGTTAGTTAACATATCTATCACCTTACCTTTTTACCAATTTTTTTTTTCCATTTTGTAGTAAGAACACTTAAGCACTATTTTTTTAAAGCAAATTTCAAGTACATTCCTAACTATAACCACCATGCTATACATTAGATTCTCAGAACTTACTCATCTTATAACTGAAAGTTTGTACCCATTGGCCAACACCTGCCCATTTCCCTAATCCCCTAGTCCATGGAAAACACCCATTCTACTTTCTATTTCTGCAGGTTTGACTTTTTAAGATTCTACATATAAATGAGATCATATGGTATTTGTCTTTGTCTGACTTTTTCACTTAGAGTAATACCCTCGAGTTTCATCCATCTTGTCATAATGGCAGGAGTTCCTTCTTTTTTATGGCCGAATTATATTCCATTTTAATTATAGCAATTTCTTCATCCATTCATTCAACAACAGATACGTGTTTCCACAGCTTGGCTATTATAAATAATGCTGCAGTGAATATGGGAAAGCAGATATATATTCAAGCTACTGTTTTTGTTTCCTTCAGATATATACCCAGAAGTGAGATTACTGGGCTATATGGCATTTCTATTTTTAACTTTTTGAGGAACCTCCATGCCAGTTTTCATAATGGCTGTACCAAATTACATTTCCACCAACAGTGGCATCCTTTCCAACACTTATCTCTTGTCCTTTTGATTATAGCCATCCTATCACATGTGAGATGATATCTTGTGGTTTTGACTTGCATTTCCCTGATCATTAGTGATGTTGAGCACCTTTTCATGTACCTAATGGCTATTTGTATGTCTTCTTTCGAGAAATACCTACTCAGGTCCTTTGCCCATTTCTTAATCAGATAATTCATTTTTTCACAATTGGATTCCTTATGTATTTTGAGTTCCTTATGTATTTTGGATATTAACCCTTACTAGATAATATTTTACAAATATTTGCTCCCATTTTGTAGGTTGCATTTTCATTTTGTTGATTGTGTCTTTTTCTGTGCAGAAGCTTTTGTGTCTGATGTAGTCCCACTTATTTTTGCTTTTGTTGCCTCTGCTTTTGGTGTCATATCCAAAAAATCATTTTAAGACTAACATCAAAGAGATTTTCCCAGTGTTTCATCTAGCAGTTTTAAGGTTTCAGGTCTTACACTTAAGTCTTTAATCCATTTCAAGTTAACTTTTGTGAGTGGTGTAAAATAAGGGTCGAAATTTGTTTTTATTTTTTGCATGTGTAGATCCAGTTTTCCCAGCACCATTTACTGAAGAGACCATTCTTTCTCCATTTTGTATTCTTGGTGTCCTTGTCAAAGATTAGTTTAATGTATATGGCAGGTTTATTTCTGGGCCCTTGATTCTATTTCATTTGTCTTCATATCTATTTTATGCCAGTACAACATTATTTTAATTATTGTAACTTTGTAATATTGTTTTAAATTAGGAAGTGTGATGTCTCTACTCTGTTCTTCCTTCTCAAGATTACTTTGATTATTTGGGGTCTTTTACGGTTGCACATAAATCATAGAAATTTTTTTTCCATTTCTGTGAAAAATGCCACTTGAATTTTGATAGGGATTGCATTAAATCTGTTGATCACTTTCAGTGGTATGAACATTTTAACAATACTAATTCTTCCAACCTGTGAACATGGGATATCTTTTTTATTTATTTTTGTCTTCAATATCTTTCATCAATGTTTTATTGTTTTCAGCATACAGTTCTTCTCTTCCTTAGTTATATTTTTTTCCTAAATATTTTATTCTTTTTAATGCTATTATAAGTGGGAATGTTTTGTTGTTTCTTTTTTAGACAGCTCTTTGTTCATATATAGAAATGCTTCCTGATTCTTTATATGCCTGCTACTTTTTTATATACTGGGTATTGTGAATCTTACATTTTTGGTGATATTTTGTTGAATTCTTTTCAATAGTGTTGGATTTTTCTTTCTGGAAGGAAATTAAGCTCTGTGGAATCATTATTTTAAAGCTTTTCTTAAGGGTGGATCCAGAAAAGCCTTTAGTCTGTAGTTAATTTATTCTGCTATTGAATGGCACCCCTATATGTGCTGTTGCATGTTTTAGGAGATCTCTGCAGTATCATTGGTAGTAACATGAAATATCCTCAGCCTTGTGAGAGCTTGGGAATTATTTAGCATTTTTTGTGTGTGTGTGGTTCTTTTCCAAGTCTTGTATAGTTCACATAGATGCACGGATCCATACACAGTCAAAGTCTCGAGGGGACCATTCTGCAAATTTCTGATGTCCTCTCTCTGTGAAGCTCTCTCCTCTCTAGTACTTTGTCTCATAATTTCTAGCTGCTTTTGCAGCCTCAGTCTCTGATCTCTGTCTTCTCGATTCAACAAGACCATTGATCTCTGAGTTTCAGTTTCCTGTGTCCTAGCCTGGGAAATCTCTCCAGTCACTAAACAAGACCATTTGTAAGGTTTACCCTAACTGTTATTCTTCTCTTATCCCATCTTATGTTGCTGTTGACCAAAATGTGAAAACTGTTGTTTAATATATTTTGTCCAGTTTTCTAGTATTTTAAGGTAGGAGATTAAACCCAGTCTCTTTACTGCCTCTATAACAACCACTGCCTGATTTCCCCAACTTTATGGTATATCTTCCCAATATTCTTATTTTTAATTCCAAGACAAAATATTTATTTATGGTTGCTGTCATACATTTTAGTTGCCTTTTTTTTTTGTCCCAGTATTGCATTTGGGAAATCTATCATGCCTGTAAGCAGAAGAAATTAGCAAATAAAAAGTTTAAAGATATTAATTTGCTATAATTTATGGTATGTATAATATTGCATCTACTTATAATAATACTAAAATCAATTCTTCCTTTACATGGAAAATTTCAAAATATTTTAAAACCAATTTTTTTACTTAATGCTCATAAAAGCCTTGTGAACTAGATAAATGTAGTAGTATAATTCTTGCTATAAAGTAAAGAAGTTAAGGCTCAGCAAGATTCATTAATTTTTCTTCAAGTCACATGACCTATACGTGATCGAGATGGAAATCAAACCAGAACTTCTGACTTTTGTAACAATATTTTTTCCAGTTTCCAATGTCTGTCTTACTGGAAGATGTAGAACTCTGTGTGAACTGGCAAAACCTCTAGAATGGGTAGAAGTTTTTTGTTTTATTTTATTTTTTATGGTGGGTTGAAAGAACTGGATTGAGAGTAAGAAGATGGTTTGTAAACCAGATTCAATCTAAGTACTGAAACAGCATAGAACTTATATAAAACAAGCAAAACAACATTCTTACAACTAGTATATATTTAGTTTAGGAAGCAAAAAGCACAACTTAAAATTGTTCAGCCAGAGGACAGGTTGTAAATGGAGAAAAAAAGAGATTTAATGTATGCCTAAAGGTTCAGGTGACCAGAATGACTGCTTAGGAGAGCTGTTTTATTATACGAAGTCAGTCTATCCTGTATAAAGGCAAGGCATCCTTCCCAACTTTACAGTAATCACTTCCCAACCTCCCCAACCCTAAGACATTACTTTGCAATAATCTTCTTTTTAATTAAAAAATAAAAATAATTATGCTTGTAATATATTCTAGTTGCATATTTTTTTCTCTCTCAGAGTTGCATTTGGGAACTGCAATGGGTTGGCTGTGGTGGATTTTATACAGAAGACAGTACTGTTAAGCATGGGGACCATTGACCTATATAGATCAAGTGACCTATACCAGCGACAACCACGGTCTCCTCGAAAAAACAAGCAGTTTATTACAGGTAGGAGATAAGACAAGATGGGTTATGAACTTAATTTGTTCATCTGTTTTTTTACTTTTAGATTTCTTGTCTTTATTCTGTGATGCTATTCAAATACATGGCAATATAAACTTAATATAATTTATACTATATAAGTAAAATGAATTGGTCAGAAATATACTGAGAATCATTGAAAGGGCAAGGGAGGTGATTAAACTTCAATTTGCTTGAAGTTAGAAAGCATCTCAAGTTTCTTAAGTTAATTCCAATGAAATAACAGAAAATAAGAAACTGTCAAGGGTTAAAATGCTGCAAAAATCAGGGCTTTCTAGTTGGAAAAGCTGCTTGTAATAGTTGTATTAAACAGGTTAACTTTCTTCTATGTATCTGACCCCTATAAAAAGATAATTTAGGTCATTCACCAATTTTAATTTTTTAAATTAACTCCATATTATAGCTGTCACCTACTCTTATTAAATGATGACTTTCTTGAAGGTATTTTCACAAATGCAATAAACATTATTCATCAACATTTTTTTTAAATGCTATGAAAGATGGCATTTTTCTTGGCAGGACCAATACATTTATTTAACTATAAAAGAAAACAAGGTTAATTAGGAAATAATGCCAAATTTTAATATGCCAAATTATTCAAAGTTTTACTGAAATTTGAGCATACCTTCAGTAGTAGTTGGCTTTATAAACACTGCCAAAATTTTGTGTATTTTCTGTCAACTGAAATAGTCTAGTTGCTAAAAAGTTAGTAAAAAAGTTTGCAGATGGAAATGCTTCTATAGTATAATGTTTTATTTTAAACAATTCTTTTAAATTTCTACTTTGTTTTTTTGTAAATAATCAGTTGAATATTGGAGCCTTTACTAAACATACCCGTGAAAAGAATATTTTATAATAAAAAATAAAAGGGTACATAATGATAGGTGTTATTTTTCCAAATAGCGGGTGTGTGTCAAACTTAATATTTTAATGTGATAGTAAATAAATTTCTATTTTGGACTAATACAACTTGATATCTTGAAATTCTACTTCTTTGTTAAACTTTTGTGACACTCAATCCTTTCCTAATTGCTAGTGTAGACTCTTTTCAGGGGCACAAAATTTCTCCTTCAGAACCTGAGGGATTTTTTGTTAGGGAATCTTAACTTTTAGCAATATTTTAGGAGTGTTGGAAATTTCAAATTCTGCAGTTCTGCATCTACCACTACTGGCTTTTGAAAAGAAAGCAGAATAAGAGAAATTGTGCATACATATTTTCTTCATGATTGGGAAGGTGAAGGCTGATTTCTGAAACTTCATGGACTCTAGAATAAGAAGTTAATGGGTAGGAGGCACTGTTTGCAAGGCTGAAAGTAACAATTCAGTCAGAAAAGCTGTGGACCCTATGATGTTATCTAAGTTATTTGCTATATATATTAAGAGGGGTGAAAAAGTATATATTTTGACAAAGGTAATACAATTGTTATTTAAACTTGTTAATCCTCAATAATTATGATTCAAGCTTAGAATTTGTATGATTTTAAAATTGGGAAAAACTGATGAAGTCATAAACTCAGCTTGTATTTAGTGTATAAGATAACTACAATGAGTACTCAGTTTACATTATAAAAGTAAAGTATTAAAGACTAAAATCCCTAAGCTTTCTTTTTAATTACTGAAGAATTATATACAATCATTTTTATATTAATGAGGTAATTTATACATATTATTTACAAGCCAAACAAGTATACTATGTAAAAACATACAAGAAAAGTATTCCATCTATTTTTAAAAAGATATTTGATTAAATAAAGTTGCTACAGCATTCTCATCATTCATCTATCACTTCTTACTTTCTAATTGATTTATTTTTTAATATCTCCTCCTTAATTTGATTACCTAATCTTGCTGCAATTTCTCCATCTTGGCTGTTCTAGATTCTGGTATGATATCACTTCCTTTCACTTTAGACTATTTTTCTTTCTTTCCTCTGCCTGCTGCTGATGCTGGTGTTCTGGCATGTTCCAAAGACAACTTTTGCATGCGTGGGCTGTCTAACTTTTATCCTGATTTAACGAAACGGATCCGTACTTCCTATCAGAGTAAGTTATATAAAGGTTAGGCAAATAGCTTTTTTAAGTTATAATGCTTGAGTTAAATCCATATATCAGTGCTCAGTAATGTGTTTTTTAAAACACATTCAGCATGCATGCAAATTTTTGTTTTGTTATGGAAATGCAACCTGATAATTTTGATAAAAATTATTATACAGATATTTCAAATCATTATTGTCATGTATGTACCCATTCACTCATACCCATTGTTTCAATGTTATTTTAAACCATGCAGACCATGTCCATTAGTTCAAGGGTCAGTGTCTTTTGTTTTGAGGTGGAAGAGCCATGATGTCCTTGAAAATAATAAATGTGACATACCAGTATCAATAATGATTCAATGCTTTCTTCTTTTGGAAACCTTGGGCTTTTGACTATTTTATAATATTATTCTAAGTAGGGTCACAGTATTTGCTCCTTGTAAGTAATTATATTTCTTGGAGATAACTAAATATTTCTAACTTCTGACTTTTTTATGAAAATGGAATGCACAAATGCACATTTCTTAGTGATTTTAGGTACAAAACACTGTGAAGTAGGGGAATTAAGGTCACAAATAAAAAGGTTAATAATAGTAACATTTACTACAGTAACAAATGCAGATTTGAAGATGACCAAAGTAAGCAATTCTAAAAACTGATGCAGAAGGGTTGGAGAATGAGGGTGTGTGTGACTAGAAGTGTAGATGATAGTAGTGCTGTTATGGAGAAATATTTATTGATATGAAAAAATGCTTACAATATGTGTGTTAGTTTGTTTTCTGTTGCTCATAATCAAATACCTGAAACTGGGTAATATATAAGAGAACAAAATTTATTTCTTACGGTTTTGAAGACTAGGAATCCCAACGTCCAGAGAATACATCTGCTGAGGGCCTTCTTCTTTGTGGGAACTCTACAGAGTCCCATGGCAGCTCAGGGTATCACATGACAAGGGCTGGGTGAGAGCACTTCATAATGTGTTCCCTTGTTGTCCTTACAAAGCCACCATTCCACATCTATGACAACCCATTAAGCCATAGTCCTCATAATCCAATTACCTCATAGAGGCCTCACCTTTCATCACTGCCACATTGGAAATCAAGCTCATGTCATTCTCACATACAAATACATTAATTTCATCCCCATATTCCAAAGTCTTAACTCATTCCAGCACAAACTCAAAAGTCCAAAGTCTAGAGTCCCATCTATGAAATCAAAACAAGTTATCTACTTCCAAAGTACAATGGTGGGACAGAAATAAGATGAACTCTCATTACAAAAGGGAGAAGAGAGCCAAAAGGAAGGGGTAACAGGTCCCAGGAAGTACAAACCCAGCAGGGAAGTCAGCCATCATTAAATAATAAAACTGGAGAATAATCTCCCTTAACTCCATGTCCAACATCCTCTGTATGCTGGTGTAGGTGTTGGGCCCCCAAGGTCTCAGCCCATGCTTCAGGTCTCCCAAGCTGGTGTTGCACACTGGTAGCTCTACAATTCTGGGTCCCATTGGTGGTCCCACATTTATGGTTCTAATAGGCATGGCCTGGTGGAGGTTCTCTGCTGCAACTGTGAGCCCATATTTCCAGTAGGCATTGCTCTACTGGAGGCTCTCTGCAGTGACTCTGCCTGCACGGCAAAACTCTTCCTGGGCCCGCAGGCTTTTCCATACATCCTTTGAAATCTGGGTGGAGGCTGCTGTGTCTCCACAGCTGTGGCATTCTGTAAGCCTGCAGACTTAACACCATGTGGACACCACCAAGGCTTATGACCTCTATCTTCTGAAGCAGTGGGTCCAGCTGCATCTAGAGCTATTTAAGTTACAGCTGGGGCAGCTGAGGAATTTCATGCCAGAATTCAGGGAGCAACATCTAGAGGTGTCCCTGAGTAGTGAGCCTGTGGAGGGTACCTGGGGTCTGTTCCTTGAAACCATTCTATCTTCCTAGCTCTGGGCCTATGATAGGAGGGACAGCCTTGAAGATCTCTGAAATGCCTTCAAGGTCTCTCTTCTACTCTCTTGATGATTACTTTTCTGTGTACTGATCTCCTTAGCAGATGTTCACTGGGCTACACACTTGGTTTCTCTCCTGAACAAACTTTTTCACTCGTTCGATGGCCAGGCTGACAATTTTCCAATTTGTTACCCTCTGCTTCTCTTTTAGTTATAAAATCTGGCTTTATGTGATTTTTTATTTTTATTTTTGTGCCATACTTCAGTGTAAGCTGTAAGAAGTAACCACACAGCTGTGTGAATGCTTTGCTGCTTAGAAATTTCTTCTGCCAATACCTGGTTCTGACTCTTAAGTTCCACATTCCATTAAACCGTGGGGCATGTACACAATTCAGCCAAGTTCTTTACCAGATCATAACAAAGGTGACCTTTGCTCCAATTTCCAATAAACTTGTCCTCAGTTTCATCTTAGACATCCTCAGAATGACCTTTGCTGTCCATATTTCTATCAGCTTTCTGGTTGCCACCATTTAACCAATCTCTATGATGTTCCAAACTTCCCCTAGTCGTCTTGTCTTCTAAACCCCCACCAGCATGTAGGCATTTTCTAACCTGCTCCTCCAAATTCTTCCAGCCTTTTTCAATCATGCATTTCCAAAGACACTTCCACATTTTGAGGTATTCACTACTAGCAATACTCCATTTCTCATTACGAGTTTTCTGTATTAGTTTATTTTCAGTTACTTAGAATAACTGAAACTGGGTAATTTATAAGAAAATGAAATTTATTTCTTATCATTTTCGAGGCTGGGAATCCCAAGGTCCAGGGGGCATACCTGGTGAGGATGTTCTTCTTGGTGGGGACTCTACAGAGTCCTGTGACAACACAAGGTATCATATGATGAGAGCTGGGCAACAGTGCTTCTTAACATGCTTCCTTGCTTTCCTTATAAAGCCAGCATCCACACCCATGATAATTTTTTAAAGCATTCACCCATTACTTCATGAATGGATTAACTCATTTATGAGAGTATGGTCATCATGATCCAATCACCTCATAAAGGCACCACCTTTCAACACTGCCACACTGGGAATCATGCTCCCACTTCATCTTAGGAGGAGACAAACATTTAGACCATAGAATATGTAAATCTATATATTATGTGAATAAAAAGCAGGTTGATTAGCAATGTATAGAAGATAGCCTTTTTTAAATATAGTATACATATATGTATATACACATATATATACACACACTCACATACATATGTTGTTTGTAACCTGAATTTCTTCAGACCTCACTAGTTCCTAGGTACTAATGGAATCACATCAGCTATAAAACCTAAAACTTTACTAGCTTAAGGAACTTCCCTAGCCTAGGGAAGTCAGTCTCTGTGAAATCTTTAAAAGTTTTCTGGGAGTGCCCAGAGGGTGACTTTTGCTCATATATAGTCTCTGGTTTTCTATTCTAGCAGAGCCCTCCCTTTTGGGGTGCTTCCCACTCTCTCTGCTACTGGTACCCTGTGTGTGAGAACACTGATGTCTATGTTGGCTTCTGCTGCTCCTGAAACAGAAAGTTATTAGATGCTATGATATTTCTTCACATCTGAAAATTATATGAACTTTTAGTTTCCATAATAAAGTTTTATGTAACACAGCCACACTGACTTCTTTACATGTTGTCCATGGCTGCTTTTACACTATAATGGCAGAGTTGAGTGGTTGCAACAGAAATCACATGGTCAATAAAACCTAAAACATTTACTATTTTGCTCTTTACATAAAAGAGGTGCTGATCCCCATACCCTACATCATTCTTTCACACTCATCCTGCACCACATAAAGGATTTCAGCCAAAGCCTTCCCCATAGTTTCCAGATGGTTTAACACAGATTCATACTTCTGAATCCTAGTTTAGCCTTCCAAAGGTGGAATGCCCCTACATCTTGTGTGTGTGTGTGTGCACGCGTGTGTGCAGGTGCTTGTACACAGAGATAGAAAAGTTTCTGGAACATGAGACTGTGGATTTTATAAATTTCTTTTTTTAGCTTTACTGTATTTTCTAAATTTTCATAATAAACATATAATGTTTTTATAACAAGAAGAGAAATTGGAGACTGAGGATAAGGAGCAGAAGCAGCTCTTAGTTCATCAGAATTCTACAGTACTAACCATGATGTAAAGGTTAAAGAAGTTCTGAGAAATGCTTAATAATCTTATATTTTCTTCAGAATAAAAAAATCAAAACTTTTAAACCTTCATTTAAAATATAATTTTAAATTATATTTTAAAATTGTCCTCTAAAAAATAATTCCTATCTACAACTTCAAATGGATTTTCTACTATTCTCCTATAAAAACACTCCCCTAAACCAAGTGTTTGTATCCTACTACACTTATGATTTGCTTATATCATCCCCTTTCTAGAAATGTGCTGCTCAAATTTCACTTCCTATAGTGAACTTTTCCCACTGCCATTAGAACCTTGTGCCAATTTCTTTTTAAATGCTTACAATGCCTACAGCGTACAGGCTTGTACACAGTAGTGTCTGAACCATTTAGTTGGCACCTAGATTTGTTTGTATGGCTACTTATTTTTATGCTTGTACTCTACCTTTCCAAATGCATGGCAAGAATCTGAAGACCATATCTATAATTCTTTATATCCCCTATACCCAGCACAAGTCATGAGCTCAGTAAATAAATAATGATGACAGTAGGATAGCAACAGGCTCTTTTCTCTCACGTGAACAGCCAGGGGACTTTTCAAATTTGACAAATGAGGGAAGAAACAGCTTCTGTAGATACTAGGTTCACTGGAAGTTTGCAAAAGTAATCATAGTTTCTTCTAACCAGAGACCTAAATTGTTGAGACAGAAGTAAAATCAAGCCCTTTAGAAGGACATAAAGAGATCCTTCAATGTCTCTACCAGTGGGCTCCATGAGGGTTCAGATAAACCCTGGGATTTGAAATCAGATTTCCTAAAGTCTCTTGATGATCAACATCATATATTGTGAAAAGGGACTGATTCTTTAATGACTTGAAGGTATATCCTGGAA